GATGTGCGCGGCGTGAGGGAGGGAAGGAGGGATAGATGGAGAGGAGGGCAGCGCTACCTTGGCCGTGCCGCACCCCCCGTGCTTGCTGCGATGCATCCGGTTGCTGCCTGATGCAGAGCACTCTCCAGTTGGTCTGGCGGCATCATTGCACCCCTTGTATCACTCACATGTGTGTACAGCTTCTCCACACCGCTGAAGCCAGTCGCCCGCTCGTGGTGCTCCTTGATCACTCGGGGCAGCTCCTCGAGCGGCACCACGGGGCACCACCGCCACTCTCCGCTGCGCTTGACGCAGCGGCACAGGATGTCCTGACCGCCAGCGCCCTTCAGCACCTGGAAAAACTGCAGCACCTTCTTGCTGTAGTTCTTGGCGCCGCCCTGCACTGCCGCCCCCCCTCCCGCACCCCGCCGCCGCCGGCCTGAGGGCGCCTGCTCGTCGCCCTGCTTGATCCGGATGATGCCCTCTACATCTGACTTAGTGAGAAACACATTCTTGGCGCCGTTTTGGCGCCGTTCTAAGGCATAAAGGATGACAGGTTGGTTCATAATTTTAAGTTTGCGTCAGCTGCGGGGTGCGGGAGGGGAGAAATAGAAGCCTTAGAGACTCTGAAAGGCGAAGGAAAGGGAGGGATCGCGGGAGAGAGCGTGCCTGATGAGCCAGACGAATCGGGGGAGGTGCCACATCAGCGGGCAACACATGGTATGAGGCCGCCCACACATTGCAATACCTGCTGTCCCTGCGTGTACAGCTTCTTCCGCAGCCCCTTAGGGAAGACTCTACAAAGTGGATGGGGGGCGATTCACTATTCAGCTTGATGCAGTTGCCTCGTAACATAGCCCGCACCCCCAAAGGTACGTGCACACACAGCACAGGTCCACTACCCAGCCTCAACACCAGGCTGCAGCTGGCAGCACCTCACAGTGCGCGCCTTCATCGCCTTGCGCTCCTCCACCGCGGCTGCCACCACCGCAATCAGACGCTCCTTGTACACGCGCAGACGCGCTTCGAGGCGTTCAGCAGAGAAGCGATTGTTGAGAAATTCTGCTGTCTTGCACAGGCCCTCAACATCGTCGCGCAGGGCATCGGCTGCTACATGCACTTGCTGCAGGCAGGGCAAGGGTAAGGGCGATGCACTTTTAAAGAAGTTGTTGAGAGGACCTGGCCCGGCTAGCTGGCGCCGGCGCTGGTGGTTGGGGCCAGCCAGCGCCAACACCAGTGCCTTTCAAGCTGCCTGCCTGTCAGCCCGACAATTAGATTGCCGCCGTGATGCTAGCCAGTATATCCACTTTGCACGCCTGCCCGCCTGCCTGCCAAGCAGCCGGCTGCTTAGCGCCTCTAAGCCCGCCCAGGCCACACCTGGTACAGCAGGCGCCCCGGCTTGCTGCCATCCTCACACAGCTCTGCGCAGGTCAGCATGACAGGATCGTAAAATGCTTGTGTTAATGTCTTTCTCAAAGCCCTTGCTCGTCCAGCGGCGGAAGGCCTTGTCGCCGTAGATGGTCCACACCAGATTGATGGTGCAGCTGAAGAGAGAGCGCAGCTCAGCCTCCTGCGTGGGGCGGACAGCAGTGGTATTGCCTGATGCAGCTATCTCCTGATGCTGCAGCGGAGCACGACGAGCGCCTGGGCACTCAGCTCAGCCCAGCAACTAGCGGCTCAATCGGCACAGCACCTGCTCCATTTCCCCCTGCGCATCCAGCTGGCGGTGCTGGCTAATCTCATTGTTGAGGCAAGTATGCATGGCGCCTGCAGCAGGAGTAGGAACAGCGCACGTTAATCCAAGCCTGGAGCAGATCAACACCAGCGCAGGTGATGGTCCTCCACTTCAGCAGCCCATTCCCGCACCCCTGTGCCGCCGCCCACCCACCCTTGAATCCCACCACCGTGCGCGTCCTGCGGCGCAGCGCGAAGAAGCGCAGGATGAGCTCCTGGTCGCTCTCGTCCTTGGCAGCGTGCTTGGCGGCGCGGATGGCCAGGAAGGTCTCGTGCTGCGCCAGGCTCTCCAACAGGTCGATGTACGGGCCGCCAAACACGGCGCGCCGGATCTGGCAAGGCAGGAGACATCCAATATCCAAAAGGCACGGGGCAGGGGGTAAGTGGAAGGTGGGGCATCCCATCAGATGGTACCAGCTGGTGGCACCTGCCCCCGCCTAAGTCAAGCTCCAAATCCTGCTTGGGAGGGAGGCTTCGCCTCCCTCTCCCTCCCACCTGCTGTTTGTTCAACTGCTCGGCACCCGCATTCAAGTCTTCATACACGCGCAGCACCGCCTCCTCGGTGGTAGAGGGCAGGAGCTTAGTGCAGGGCAGCATGCGGGAGTCAAAGTCGTAGCGGCTTGGGGATGTTGGGGAGAGGCGGTCCTCAGGCAGGTCACAATAGCTCTTGCCGTTGAGCTCAGTGAGCTTCGTGAGGTCCTGCAGGGCCAGGAAGTGGGGGCGGGCCAAGCTGATGACTGCGGAAAAGGGAGGGATGCTCACCATGTGCGTTATACTCGCACTGCGGAGGTCGCCTCTTAACCTGTGATTCAACAGCCAGCAGCCCATGGCACACAGAACCCACCTGAAGCCTGAACTCTGAGCCGTCAGGAAACACGCCCTTCCTGAAGGCCAACAGGGTGGTGAGCCGCTGCTTGCCATCCACAAAATCCTCCACCTGCGGGGGTGGGGTGAAGGGCGATGGTAGGCAGGCAGCAGCGTGAAAGGGAATTGATAAGTCAGCAGGTCCCTGCAGGATCCCCCGCTCCCAGCTTCCTCCTCCACACTTGCCTCCATCCCGTCGACCACCTTGGCGTGCGTCACTACCGCCGGCACAAACAGGCCACCCATGACGCTCTCTATCAGCCGATACGCCTTCTGCTTGCCCCAGATGTATCCTCGCTGGTAGCGGGGCTTCAGGTTGATCCGCTTCTTCTCTGCACGGTTCAGCAGCGTCTCCAGGTCCACGGCTGCAACGTGAGAGGGGGCGGCAGGGAGGTGGGCGGGCACTAGCGCCTACGCAGCCTGATTGGTGGCGGGCGGCCAGGTGGCAGGCGCAGGGCGGCAGTCGGCGGGGCAGGTGTTGCAGGTGTAAGGCAGCTGGCGCTTCTATTTATGCACTCACTGCCGGTGGTATGCTCTACTCGCATGTCGTTGTGCAACGCAGCAGGATCCAGCTCCTCCTCCTCCTCCTCCACCGCCGCCTCTTCTGCCCTTGCCTGGCTGCTGGGCTCCTGCCAGCTGCCACTGCCGGCTGCAGCAACAACAGCACGGCGCGCGTGGCTGTTCATCCCCATGCTGACCAGGGCCCTGGCAGAGTGATAGGTTGGTGCCGCCACCGAGCCACTACCGCACAACAGGGCGGATTGGGTGCAGTTTTGCTGCGGCGGGCCGCGTGCGGCAGGGCCGGCGGCCCCAACTGCAACGGCTGTGGCACGGTAGGGGGCTCGCTGCCAAACGTATCCTGCTGCAGAAGCGAGCAGAGCACAGGACGGCTGGCTTCGAAGAGTCATGCTGGCCCGCATGTCTGGTGAATACACAAGTGAGTGCTCCTGTGGATTTTGCCAAAAGCACCTGATTCAAGGGGCATCCTGCTCCTGCATCAATCCGCCCTGCTGACTCAGCGCCGCCTCGAGGCGCAGCGGGAGGCCTCCATAAGTGAGTTGGGGAGCCGCGCAGCGCTGACCAGCAGTGGTTGGGCAAGAGAACAGGGTGGAGGTGGAGGTGCGGGTGCATCCTGGCACGGTTGTGGCACCATGCGCCGCCATCTGTGCCTGCCTGTCATCATGTCACCCCGCTGTAAAGATCAGCACGGGCTCGCAGGCGCTGGATGAGCTGCTGGGCGGCGGCGTGGAGACCAAGGCGGTGCGCCAGGCAGCCGCAGCCTGCGCCTGCCCTGGGAAGCTGCCTGCACACACCCTGGGAGGCTGCGAGAGCACGTGAGCTGCGCCGCTGCCTCACCCGCTGCCGCTGCTCTGCAGATCACAGAGGTGTTTGGCGAGTGGCGCACGGGCAAGACGCAGCTGGCTCTCACGATGTGCGTCACTTCGCAGATCGGCACCGAGAAGGGAGGTGGGTGGTGGGCGCTGGCGGCACTTGCTGGGCGGTGGGTTGCCTGACTGCCAGAGCTGTGTGCTAGCGTTCAGCACCCGCAACCAACTTCCCTCCAGCGCCCCTCCAACTCAGCGACTCGTGCCGTGCCGCTGCAGGAGAGGTGGTGGGTGCAGGCAAGGTGGCCTACATCGACACAGAGGGCTGCTTCAGGCAAGGCAGCGTGATGCCCCATCATGTGTGGCACACCTGACCGCGCCCCTACTGTAGGGCGCCCCTATTCCAACCCGACCCAACTGCGTGTGCTGCCCGCGTTCCCCACCTGCAGGCCAGAACGGATTCGCCCCATCGCGGAGCGCTTTGGGCTTGAGTCGGATGCTGTGTTGGACAACATCGTATGCGCGCGGGCCTACACGTGGGAGCAGCAGTTTGGTGAGCGGGTCTGAGGGCAGGGAGGCCAGCGGGCACACACCTCTGTACGGGCTCTGCTCCTTCCCTGCTTTCAAGATGCGAACGTTGCCCCCAGCACGCCCTATAGATCCATCAGGTGGTGCAGGTGCCTCCTCATCTCCTCTCGCCTGTTTCTGCCGCAGACTTGCTGGTTCCTGTGGCGGCCATGATGGCCGAGGAGCCCTTCAAGCTGCTCATCATGGTACGCTGGCTACCTTGACAGCGCCGTAGCCGCGTCCCCCGCAGGCACAGCTTGTGCACCCCCCCTCAGCCCTGTACCGCTCCTGCTCTGCAGGACAGCATCACCGCCAACTTGCGGGTGGACTTTTCCGGCCGCGGCGAGCTGGCGGAGCGCCAGCAGCGCCTGGGCCAGCTCATGCAGCGCCTACGCAGGGTGGGGGCGGGGCTGTGGGTAGCGCTGGGCCACGGCGCGCTGCGTGGAGTGTAACGGCATGCACCCCAGTGGACAGCGCCTTTCATCAATGCTGTAGTAGGAGCAGCGCTGCAGCGTCGGCGCCGGCGACGGCGCCGACGGCGCGGCGTGCATGCTATGCTGTTTAGCCCCTTTTGCTGGTGTTTCCGCCTGCCCCTGGGCCTTTCTGCTGGGGTGCAGGCGCCGCTGTAAGCACGCTTATACCTTAGCAGAGAGAGCCATAGTCAGATAGAGCGATCAGCGGGATAGCGGAGGCTAGTCCTGCTACACTGGTTACCCCACTGAGTTGAACCCCAGGCGGATGCCTGGTGGCCTCTCTGCGTCAGTTCGCGCCGGGCGGGAGCCCGCCGCAGCGTCTGAGGGGGGGGAGTAGGGTCAGCTCTCCGCCCCAGCCTCTCTAGCCGGAAGGGCGGCTCCTGATCGCGATCGGGGGCTACCCAGGCCGGCAATCGGGGCTCGCAGGGCCGCTGCTGGGCAGCAGCGCGGGCTGGGCTGTGCCACGTGTGGGCGATCCCGGTCGGGCCGGCTAAGGGTGGGTTGCAGGCCTGCTCTGGCCTAGTTCTATCGCTTGGGCCGGATAGCCCACGGTGTCTAGTTCTGCGGAGGATCCCGCAATCCACGGGGCGGAGCCCCTGAACGCGCACGCCCGGGAGGGCATGCTGATCATGATGCATGGCCAGGATGGCCAGGAGGCTGATTCGCCGCCCGGGCGCGCGCCCCCTGGCGCGCAGGCTCCGGGGCAGGCTGGGATTGAGCTCCAGGTGCGCCCGGGTGGCGCCGGAGCGATGGGGGCTGACGCGGCGGGAGCCGCGCCGGCGGGTGGCGCTGTACGCGCCGCCGCCGACCCCACTCTCAGCCTCTCACTCCCGCAGGTCGCCGGTGACACCCGGGGCCTGGCTTCTCCGCTGCAGGCGGCAGTGGCGCGGGTGATTGCGCGTATGGTTACCAGCGGAGAGCTGGCGCCGGGCCCCGCTGCAGCGGCGGCGGCGGCCCGGGCGCCGCCTGCGGTCGGCGCGACGCCCATGGAGGTGGATGCCTTGGGCGCTGATGGTTCCGCGGGCGCTGGCGTGGCTGGCGCCGCGGGTGCCGGTGTGGTTGGTGCCACGGGCGCTGACGCGGCTGGTGCCGCGGGCGCTGTAATCCCTCTCCATGCCCACGCGAGGGCGGTCAGGCAAGGATAAGGAGAGGCAGGCTGAGGAGACAGCTCAGGGAGAGGCTGCCCTGGCAGCAAGCGGGACCCGGGGCGGGGAGCCGTCGCTGGGTGGCCCGTCAGAGGAGCTCTCCGCCCTTACTGCGTCGGTGCAGCAGTTGTTGGGCAAGCTGTCTGAGCAGCAGGAGGCAATTTCTACTCTGCAGGCTGCAATGGCCGCGCGGGAGCGCAGCCCCCCACAGGAGGGGGGCGGGCAGGCCTCAGAGCAGGGTGATGGCGGGGGGCGCCACCCCGTCACACCAGACAGCAGCGGTGGCGCGGCAGAGTCAGCGCCCGTCACGCTGGCTGATCTACGTGAGCTGCTGGAGGGCCAGCAACAGCCCAAGCAGCGGTGGCTTAAGGTTGAGTTTTCGGAGCGGTTTGATGGCGACATCGCCAAGTTGCCGCGCTGGTCGCAGGAGGCCCTGAGCTATCTGGAGATGCACAAGGGAGACCCCGCCACCAAGGCGTGGTTCCTGGCCAATCGGATTGGCAAGGACTCCTTGCAGTCCCAAGTGAAGCTGGCCTTGATGGAGCGCCCGCTGGCAGAGCGGACGCCGTTGACAGTCCTGCGCCTGCTGCGGTTAGCGCTGGGTGTGGACGCGCACACGGCGGCTATGGAAGCTGCCCTTAAGTGGGCTGTGTGCCGCCAGCGCGCAGGCGAGTCGGTGGCAGACTTTGCAGTGCGCTACAAGGATGCACTGTTGCAGGGGCAGCCCGACTTGCAGCCTGCGCTGCAGGGGCAGTTCGCATCACTTATGTTTATGGTGCGGCTGCGGCCAGCGCTGATGGGCGCTGTGGCTGCTAGCCACCACGATGTGTGCACCCTGGAGGCGGCCATCGCCGCTGCCACTCGGGAAGAGTACCACCTTGAGAAGCGGCAGCTGCAAGAGCAGCGCCGCACGGTCGGTGGCCGGCCTGGCCGTGTGGCCGGGCTGAGCGCCATGGGGGCGCAAGAGGCCCCCGCCGGCTCTGAGGAGCTGGCTGATTGGCAGGATGATGATGAGGAGCCCGATGATGAGGCTAACCTCGCTGCCATGCAGTATGGCAGCAGTGGCAGCCGCGGCCGCGGCAGCCAGGGTGGCGGCGGTGGCCGTAGCACCCGTGGCGGTCGCGGTGGCGGCAGGGGCCGCGGGAGCGGTCCTGCCGGCCTGCCCGAGAGTACAGAGACCGTGCCAGGCACGGACGGTGTGGTTCACCCCAACGTCGATTGCCGCAAATGCAAGGCGTGGGGCCACTACAGGAGTAAGTGCCCGCGGGGCACTGGCGGCGGTGTCGCCGCCCGACAGCAGGGAAACTGAGCGGCTCGGCGGCGGGCCCTGCGCCCGCCGAGCCCAACCCTGCCCGGCGTGAGCAGGGAGCGCGGGAGCCTGAGCCCCCAGGTGGGAGAGCACCTGTTGGGCACCCGCGCCGCGCAGACACACCGGTTGCTGCCAGTGACGGCAGCGAGCCGCATGCGGACCTGGGCGCGGCCTGCCAGACTGCAGGGCGCCAGGCCGATGATGCACAGCCAGCTGTGGCAGCAGGGGACCTGCCCGGTGGAGGTGACAGGGGCCCTGGCCCGGCACCTGTGGCACCCCACCTTCCCCTGGCTGCCGGAGACAGCGACGTCGCCCAGGGCGACACCCTCCCCGCCGGTGGGGCTGGCGGGGCGGAGGCGACGGTTGGCGTTGGTGCCCCCGAGGGTGCGGGAGAGAGCACAACGCCCAGTGCGGCGAGGGGAGTCGCGGGCTCCCGTGGTGAGCCGTACAAGCTGTGCAGTGTGGCGCAAGAGACGCCGGGGCAGCGCCCTGAACGATCCCTTGTGTTTGAGTGCCGTGTCGGCAAGCTGCGCACCGACGGCGCGCTGCTGGACAGCGGTGCTGAGTTGTGTTTTGTTGATGCTGAGTGGGTGCGGCGGCATGGGGTTCGGACTACCCCTGTCGCACCCATCCAGGTGCGCCTGGCCGATGGGCGCATTTTGGTTAGTGACCGTGAGCTGCGGTGCCGTTTGACTATGGACGGCTACTGCATGCCCACACAGGCTTTCAGGGTTGTGCCCCTGGGCAGCAAGGGCTGCTCTGTGATCCTGGGCATGACCTGGCTCACGGCCCACAAGCCCATGGTTGACTGGGCTGAGGGCACAGCTACGCTCACTCGCCCCCAGGGCTCGGTAGTGCTGCGTTCCCAGCGCT